CCCCAAAACCCCAAAACCCCAAAACCCCAATAATCCCAAAAAAACCTGAACAATTATAATTTATTAACAATGTCGACCAACAACACGAAAGTAAGTTAGAGGTCAGGATGAATGAAGCCAGAGTGCCCAAGTTGGCTGGAAAAGGGCCAGAGAGGTTTAGAGGGTGGGGTTAAGTGTGATTTAGGCCAAGAGGATTGTAATTTAGTTGATTTATGAGGGTTAGTATTGTTTTGTAGCATCTGGATCAGTTTTGGAAATAAATTCCCTCAAAAATCTTATTCCGTAAAGTTTTATGGCTATGAAGCTCTATTCTGAACATTAAGGCAGATCTATTGTATTTTGTGAGGGATTTATTACGAATTTCTGAGGGAAATAACAAAATCGATCATTTCTTCTATTAAAAATAGACAATCACCGGGATCTAAGCCGTATTCTTTCATCCAAATTGGGTGCATTTATCTTAGGACTTCAAATAGCTGCTACAAGAGTTTCACACTGACCTAGCTCATATATTTTCTTAGTAACTTGGATATTAACATCAAACAATTTATAATTATTTAAGACTGCTTTTTCAGCCGAGATTCTCTTAGGGCTTTTCCTTCAATACTCATCATTTTATGGTATCTCTATTAACCGAACTTTGTGAATTTTTCTGAACAGCACCCCATTTGACCAGATATGTTCATATTCCTTCCTAAAATCTGACAGGAATCATTGAAGCATAAACCGTCTCTTAAGCTGTTTCTTTGTAATTTTTAGCTATTGTAGGCAGATTTTTAACAAATGGTTGACTCTTGATGGAGAATTTAGTGGATTGTTAAGTTTATTTACCTTTATGGAAGTCTATTTGAATTTGGCAGGCTTCTACTTTTAGATTTAAATTATGTAGGTTCTTATTGTGATTTATATCAGATATTCTTGATTGGACTAGTTGGGGTTTTATGGAAATTTCGGTGAGATTAGAAGACCTTATTGTGCTTTTATAGGTTACTTTCAGACACTCAACACAGTTGTTTAAATTCGTGATTTTACTGCTTGCACTGGGTCTTTGTTTTTCAATCGAGAGTATCGATGATGAGTACAACGAGAATATGAAATTTGATTGCTATCCTGAAAGAGGAAGAGTTGATAGCTGTAGAGAGGTTGATTTCAAACTAAATAGTGCCCACAGTATCGGCATGAGCTCACCTTGTAAGTATCTAATCTAATTTGAATTTCTCAGTTTTTAAATTAATCATGGTGACTATTTCAAAATTTCGAGGAATCAAATCTGGAATTCTCTGTTACTATTTGGGCTAATAATTAATCCTAGAAATGTTATTTCACATTCAATAAGATTATTAAGCTCTTTCTTACATTATAATGTTCAGAAGAGCCAATCAGTTTTTTAAACTATTGATTGACGACTAATTCATTCTATAGATTCTCCAATGATTGACAGAATCGGCAACAACTCTGAGGTAAGCTTCCTTATTCTTTACTCTGGAATTCTATTGAATTTGAGTAGATATCTTGAGGCAAGCCTTTTAGAATTCGCTTAAGATTCGGTGACAACTTTCTTTAGGGAGAATTATTTTATGAATGGGAAATCAAGGAAGAAACAGAATTCCAACAAACTGAAGCTCTTGAAGCAATATTTACAGAGTATGGATATGCAACCTCTAACAGAAATGTAAGTCTGCTTTCTTGAGTCCCTCAGCAGTCCCTTTAAGGAAACTAAAATAGGGCTCTCTTATCAGAATTCGAAAGAATTCATCATTTATGCTATAACCTGTCTTTTTCACAGGGCATGTCTAACCTATGTATAGAAGTACAATGAGTTTACTCCAAATATGACTTTGTGGGAAAAGAGGTAAGTTAATTACATCCTTTCACCAAGATGTGTTCCCAATTCTTACCAATTTCAAATAGATACACTGCAAAAAGGCTGACTAGGATCTTGTCGGATAAATCTTCTGAACTTAATTCAAATGATGGGATGAAGAAAATGAAGAATTTTAAATATTTCGCACTGAGTCACCTCGAAAATTTTAAAGGAGCCACTCGTAATTTCTCTGAGCTCAAAGTGAAGAAAATGAACAAGATGCAGATTGAAGTATATCCAAGAGAACTTAACTTTAACTCTATTGAACTGTGCTCACCTATGTATAAGAACTTTACAATGAAGAATGTGGATAAGCAGAAGAATATTGAGATCGCAAGTATTATTCCAGAATCTTCACAGATTATTATCGAGCATGACTACGGCAAAAATATTCTCATTAGGCCTGGAAGCAAGATCAATATCAGAGTGACAGTTACTGCTGAAATTAGAGGTTAGAAATTTTCGATAATATATTTAGAACCAATCAAAACAGTCATTGTCTTCACGTTGAAGAACGGGGTGAAACTAGTCTATCTTGTCAAATTTATTGGTATTGACAATTACTATGGCCTTGAGCCACTAGTAATTGATAAAGCAAGACATCCAACCAATATGATTGACTTCTTTATGACTAACCAGATGGATGAGAATTTCGAGTTCACTCTAAGTGACATTAAAAGTAAGCTAGAGTTCCTAACTTTTGTAGTAAAGAAAGAGTCTTCTCCTGTAGAGCTCTATCATGCTCAGTACAAGCTTGGCATGAGTGAATCTGATAAAATTATTGATAGGAATGCCAATAATCCGCACTGGTATGAAAAGGTAAGCTCAATGATATGATTGCAATATAGTTCTCAGCATCAAAGATCAAGATCGGCAAGAAATTGAGAAAACCCATCTTCAAGGTAACATTTCCTTTATTTAAAGCTGATAATTTTAGATGAATATTAATGACACTGGGTCCGATTTCCAAGAATTTGTGGTCCAATTTATGCTGAAGGATCTCAACACTGGAGAAAAGAGGCTTTTTGCAGTTCCTGTTTATGTCTATTTCAATGATAATGCTGTGGATCTGTATCCGCCTGTGATTGATTTCGGAGTGCTTTACGCAAATTCAGGAATAAAGCATACTATTACTATTAAAGCAGTAAAGAATGGACTTGATGGGATCAGAGTTGGATTCCCTTTTGTACCTAAAAATGATAACTTCGAGTATGATTTCTCTCCTATCCTGAAGACTCATGGAGTAGCTTCCTATGAAAACCATTACACAGTTGGAAAAATTACTTTAAAAACACTTGGATTGGCTGATGGTGACCATTCTGGATACATAATTTTCTGCAAGGACAAAATGTGTGAAAAAGACAAAGGAAAGACAAGAATCTATTACCAGTTCAGAATTCATAAGGACCCCCTTAATGGAGTGTCAAAAATTCACTCCTTCGAAGTTTCTGAAGATAACACCAAGAGCAAAGATGATAAAGTCCATATTCAGCTTCTTTGGATTAAAAACACCTTTAATACTCCCTTGAGGATTGATGATGTGACATGAGAAGATCGAGAACTGAGCCTCACCTTTGCAGAATCTAAGAACTTTGATGATGTTGAAGAAGATAAGTATTGATGCCTATCCTCTCTCACTCCTGAAAATAGCAGTTGTCAAAGTTGTGGGAAAAAGTACATTGAGGATTTAGACAGCAGCTATCACAAACTGACTCTCGATCCTGGAATTGAGAATCAAGGAATCAAAATGAGATATAAATACCAGATAAATCGTTCAAAGACAGTTGAGACAAAGTTCGTTGTAGTTTGGACTAATGGTACTTATATTCCAATCCCTGTCTTCATTTATGATAAGTCACTGGCTTGCTCTTTTGAATACTATAATGATTCAGAAAATGCTAAGTCTCCATTTATCTTGATGGCCACAAAGTGTAATAATATGCCAGATTATACACAACTTGACTTTGGCCCGATTGCTAGGGATCTAAATCATACCAGGACTTTGACGCTTGCTAATCTCAATTTAATGCCTATATTCATTGATGAAATACGTATTGATCCTCCTATTTGTGATGGAGAAAGGGCCGATACTGTTATCCAGTTAGTCCCTGATAAAGCTTATGATATAATGACTAGAGATAGAAAGAGAGATTACTCAAATGAAAATAAATGTTTTTCACAAATCTATGACCCAGATGAAATAAAGAGACCAATCAAGAGTCATTCAATAGTAGAATCTTCCGATTTTATGATTGCTCCAAACTCTATGGTCACATTTAATGTAGATGTGCTATCTCCTACCATCCTGGAGGATAATAATTGTAGCAGATATGAGGCAAAGATTTTATTCAGAAGCTCTCAATCCCCTGATTTTGAAATTCCAATATCATATCTAGTGATAGACACTCCAACTGATTTTTATAGTATGATCATTGAGTTACCTGCTTTCTATGTCTCTGAAAAGGAGCAGGTTCATGAATTAAGCATTAAGTCAAACTTGGATTACCCAATGCATATAATCGACGTGGAATCTCAAGATCCTGATGAAATCTCCGTTGAAATTCTGAAAAGAGTGTTACACCCAGATGAGGAGGAGAAGATAATTAAGATTTCAACTCTCCCTTTTAACAATTTTAACACCTATTTAAGAACTTTGCAGAAGCACTTGCTTGATAAGACCCCAGTAGAGACTGAGCCTTATCTTACTTACTTCGATGTGCTTGCTTATCAATCTGAGCTGAAGGAATGGGAAGAGAGGATCATTAAAAATCTAACAGAGTCAGTAACCATGGTAGATATCAGAACAAATATTGTTAAAAGTAAGATTTATGGTTTATTCATTTCTAGATATTACAATTCCAATCAAGAAGATTCTTAAGAAGCCTGAACTTGTTGATGCAGAAACCTATGACTTTGGTATGGTCGAGGTTGATGCAGAGAAGAGGGGGACTCTGAACATTTTTAATCCTTCTAATCTGCCAATGGAAATCAGTGTCCACCTTGCCCCCACAAACTACCTAGATATGATTTTCCAAGAAATAATGAGTGATGAAAGTCTCATAAAATGGATGGTTCTTTGTGAGAAAGTGTATTTAGCAGGATCAGATGGAAGGCAGATGTGACTTGAATTCTTGAAAATTAACAATATTCAAGAAAAAGACCTCAAAAAAGTGATAGATTTCTTCTTCAAGAACTACTTCAACTTTATCAACAATAATGAAGTTGGAGAAGAACTATTCATTAATTTTATTTCTGACCAGCACAAAATTTTGAAGGATACCATCAAGAATATATCTGACTCTACTAAGGCCATCAAGCCAGAAGTTTTGGATGAATGTTTCGGAAATTGCGAGGAAGAAAGCACCTTTATGTCATTTTTATCAAAAGTAAACTCTTTTATTGCCTTTTAACCTACTTTAGCTCAATCCATTCTCGAGAACAAATGAGAGGAACAAACAGAATATTCCGAAGATTGAACTTCCTGAGGGAGAGCAGTATGAAGAAATTGTAGAAACTATCAAAGTAAGACTTCACCAATGGATGGATGAACATCCTCAAAATGGAAATGATGAATTGAAGACACTGATCAACACTAGAAAACAAAACTTCTTCATTGAACAACCTTCTGAATGAGACAATGAAAATATTAATGATGAGAATAGTAAAAAGAAATGAAATACTCAATGTAAAAATAAGAGCTTTGTGATTCCTCCGAGAGCTACTCTAGAATACCGCTGTGTGCACTTCCATCCAACTCTTGCTACTGATAATGCAGAAGGTTACCTTTTGATTAAGAATAATCTGACTTTTGTCTACCCTGTTAAGCTCACTGGAAAGAGTGGAAAAGCTATTTTTAAAATCACTGATTTGAAAGCTCCGTCTTTCTACTCAAATGATCCTCAAAAGCCGTTATACCAGAATGTGCCAACAGATGTTGAAGGAGGAGTGGAAATCATGTTTAATCTCAACATGAAGCATGATGTGTTCAAAATGAAAAAGCTTGAAGCACTCTCCAAAGCTGAACTCCGGAGACAGGCTGAAAACTCTTTAGGGACTGAGCAAGTCACTGTAAAGGATATCGAATTAATCAGGAAGCATTATAGGAGGTTTAACATCTCTAATATTGGAAACTTCAAGACCAATATCGTTGATATTACTTTAAGCAACAATCAGAAGAAGAACAATTGGTTTACTCTTACTAAGTTATCTGGGGACCAAGGATATGAAATAATGTATGAGCCTGATTTTAGACACTTGATGATCGAAGAGACTATCCTAGTAAAGACTGAGAACTCTATTACTGAGTTTAAGGTGAAAGCTAGCATTCCTTTGTACTTGATCAAGTTTATCGATATGAACTTCCCCAAATTTTCAAATAATTATTTACTTAGGAGGTAAGTGTATTTTGTTCTTGATAATCAAACTTTAGACTATCTGAAATAGAAGAGCATATAGGAAACTGGTATTACTTGATAGTACTCTCCTTCGTTCTATTGACTCTATTGCTACTCGGAACTGAATTAGTTGAGTATGTAATCTTCCTCAAGCAGAAAAACATTAATTATGCCCTTCTAACAGAGGTAAGCCTTGAACTGTTCAAATTTATAGCTCATTTCAGCATATGAAAAGACCAAAGAATTGGAAGAAGAGGAGCAGAAGATGAAAAATTTATCTAAAATGCTTGACAAGAGCAAAAATGATCCTTCTCAACTTCAGAAGGAACAGAAAGCTAAGAAAGCAACTCCAGTAAAATCTCTTGGAGCTTTCAAACCAAAGTCTATTCCTTTAAATGAGTCTAAAGCTGGTATTGAAGAGATTAAGAAGAAATTGGCTGGCAGAATAGATTTTAGCAACTCTCAAGGATTATTAGGTAGGGTTTTTAGAGAGAATTTTGTAGGACCTAAGGGAGTAGAGAGAATGCCAGTGGTCAAACACGGAAAGAATAAGAAGAGGTAAGTAGAATTTGGAAAGGAGTTAAGTGCTTTTATATAGGAAAGGAAAGGAGGTGAAGATGCCGATAGGGGGAAGTGGGCAAGGTCAGAAAAAGACTAAGGAGAAAGAAAATACTAAAATACAAGAAGAACTAACTGAGGAGAATTTTGTTGATGCACCAGCAAAAAGAAAGGAGGAAAAGGATTATAAAAAGGATAAAGATTCCTTTTTGAAGTCACAAAATAAAGATAAAGAAAAGTCTAAAGTAATTTGTAATTAATAATCTTTAGTCTCCAGAAGAAGAAAAGAAGGAAGTTTCACCAAATGCTTCAAATACTTCTCCTGCTCAAGCAAAGCTTGACCTACAAAAGCTCAATCCAAAAGGGCCAAAATTTAAGAGAGGAAAACAAAGAAATCAACCAAAACAAAATAAGGTTAAGGGCGTTGGTGTGGATCTTACCAATGAGCAAGAAGTTGCCCCCGCAAACAGAGTGGTTTTTCCATCTTCAATGTACCAAGCAGTCAACGAAATTAACATAAGTAATGAAGATGAGTTCCCTTCCTTAACTCAAGCTACTGCAAAACAAAAAGATTCTGAAACTATTCCCGATAAAGAAGAAACAAAACAAGATATTTCTAATAAAAAGCAAATCCCTGAAGAACCTTCTAAGATCGTTGGAGAGAAGCAAATAGAAACAACCAAGAATGAGGAACCAAATGAGGGCGAGAGAGTTGACTCAAAGAAGCAGAACATATCTCCCAAGAAGCCAAGACAGGTCGAAACAGCAACTATTAAGCTTTATTCTCGTCAGCAAACTGAAGAATCTGCTGCTAGTGAGCCCAAGAAGGAAACTCGCAATAGACTCTCTAATGCCCAGTCAAATAATAGCTGGATGGAAAATGATGAAGGAGCAGAATCAATCAACCCAAGATCTGAATACACTGATGAAGACAGACTTGATGATAGTGAGGACAAGAACGCTGAAGATGTCTCCAATCCCAAAAGTTCTCAATCACAATCAGAGAGTTCTTACAAAGAGTCCCAAAGGTCAGCTAAGAAGAATGACGATAAGAGATTTACCAGAAAAACAGATTTTCAAGACAATAGGTAGGGTAGTGTTCCAGATAGTTCTAATATTTGCAATAGGAAAGCTACATCAGGAAGACAAAACCCTTATTATAGAAATGACTATAATGACCTGAAATATTACAAGAAGCAATATCATGACCCCACTTCATACAAAAGTAACAAAAAGGGAGTCAAGAAAGGGCATGATATTACTCCTAAATCAGGAAATAGCTATCAGGATTATAAGAGAGAGCTCAGAGAACAAAAGTATGCTCCAAACTTGACCTTTAGGAATAAGCATAACTATAACAGAGGAGGATACTACCTAAAGAATCAGCAAGACTACTACACCAAGCCAGTTAGAGCTAAGGATGAAGCTCCTAATATGAGAAGAGGAGCCAGAGGGAAATACAGAGAAGATAAAGCATATAAGTCAAATTACTACGATTCCAAAGAGGATCACTCCTATCACAGTAAGGAGCCAATAAGCTAAAATTTAGAATACGATCAGAGCAGCTTTATAAGTCATAAAAAGTCTGAGCCAAAGATAGAAGAAATTGAAGATACTAAAGCTCAGGAGATTATTGAACCAAAGCAACAAGATGAAGAACCATCATCGTAAAATTATTTTCTAATATGTAGATATCAAGATTCTCACGAGGATCTCCAGAGCTATGTTGAAGAGAACAAAGACATGATCCAAACTACATCAGAAAATGAGGAAGAGAAGGAAGGATCAGGTACCCAAAGTGGGTTCTTTGAAGAAAAGGATAGCTATGCTCCATCTCAATTCAACATGTTCAGTGCATTCCAAAATTCTGGCAGGGACTTTAGCTTGTTTTCCCCTGTTCAGGATACAATATTCGGAGAAGATGATCAAATAAACTTCAGTTTATTAAATGATGCATCTAATCCCTCCCATCAGGAAGAGGATGAAGTCTTAGGCAGATTTGCAAACTTGCAAGACCTGAGAAACCAGAGCGAGATCATCAATTACGATCTCACTAAGAAATCCTTTAAGTATAGGTAAGCTCCTTGTTATATTTTAGATCTGGTTATTCATCAAAATCTCCTGAATAAGCAAGCACTCTTTACTACTTCATTTACATTCAGGTTCAACTTTTTAGTCTCTTTAGGGGTTTTGGGGTTTTGGGGTTTTGGGGTTTTGGGG